TATATATATATATATATAGAGAGAGAGGGAGAGTGGGAGATATGGCAGAGCTGGAGTACAGTACTAGTAGCAGGCCCAAGCAGTAACAACCCAACACGCTTAAAACTCTTTGGCTTCAACGTGCAAGAAGACGAGGAAGTTGCGGAATCGGTTCAGACCCAATCAGGGTCGCCGGAGCCAGGTGGATTTCCGGTCACCGGCGATCGGAAATACGAGTGCCAGTACTGCTGCCGGGAATTCGCCAACTCCCAAGCCCTCGGCGGCCACCAAAACGCACACAAGAAAGAGCGCCAGCAGCTCAAGCGAGCACAGCTACAAGCCACCCGAAACGCCGCCGTTTCCTACGGTAGAAACCCCATGATCTCCGCCTTCTCTCCTCCGCCTCACCTCCTCGCTGCCCCGGCCGGTTCAGTGGTGGTTCCAGCCGCCGCAGCTGGCGCACCATGGGTGTACCTCCCACGTGCCGCTTCCTCCCAGTTCCACGTGTCACATGGGTGCGTGATCCCAACCGCGGGCGGCGGCGGGAGAGGTGTTTCCGGGTTGGCGTACGGTGCGGGAGTGGCGGATCCGGGTCACAGGTTTAACGTAGTGGGAGTAGGTTCGCAAGTGGTTCCGGGGCGGGTTAGTGGGTTGGCCGTGGAGGGTCCGTCACTGAGTAGGTTTTCGAAAGGGGAGGGTGGGCCCAGTTTTGACGATGCATTGGGGTTGGACTTACATCTGAGTCTTGCACCAGCTGGGTCTTGAGTACTGGGGGGGTAAAATGGTAAATCCACTGTGTTGATTTACCTTAGACGCAGGCTAATATTGTACATTTTCAATTTTTATTTATTTATTTATTTTTCTCTAAAACAAAACCAAAAAAAAAAAAAAAAAAAAAACTGATTTTAATTTCACTCGCACATATGTCAGATCTTCTTTTCTTTTCTCTCTTTTTTTTAATTCTTAAAATTTTCCAGCATTTTCTTCAACTGGAAAAAAATTCCTTATATATACATATTTTATATATATATATATATATATATATAGATTAGTAAACAATATTTTTAAAAATTGAAAGTGGCTTGTCTGACTTAGTAGAATCCTAGGTAACCAGCTGAAGGAATATGTTACAGAGATGTGTGTGTGTGTGTGTGTATGAGACTATACGTATACGTTTTGTGTGTTTGTGTGTGTGTGTGTGTGTGTGTGTGTATATGTATGGCTAGATATATCAGTTACAGTTTTACAGATCAGAACCCCAGAAAGTGGTTTATGCACTGAAAATATATATATATGATGAGGAGAGAGATGCTGCCCCAAGTTTAGGGGAAAGTCCTTAACCCTAACTAGCTTCTTGTCAATATATATATATATATATATATATATGTATGTATGTATGTATGTTCATCAGCCAGTTGTTGAAAGACTATAAGCTAATTAAAGAAAGCAAAGAAAAGCATAATTATAAAAATGGCCCAGTAGGGTTATGACATTATAACATCAACCACTTCTTATTGCCTTTGTCTTTTTTGGCACCATTTACATATTATAATTAATCAATCAAATCACAACATATATATACATATATATATGTATACACACATATATACATATATGTAATTCATCACAGCTCAGATTTCATTAACAGTTAAGAAAGGAGAAAAAGATGATTAGGACCAATTAATCAAACCAATTAATAATTAAATATAGTACATTTTCTTTTTGGAGTTATATATATATATATATATATGATATAGCATGTATAGGGTTTATAGTCCCCTAAAACCCCAACTAAGCCTTGATGGTGTTTCTTGTCACCAAAGCTTAAGATCCCTCTTGATAATGATAAGATACTTACTCGATGTGGGACCAAATATGTTATGGAAACATAACCGGTTCGAGATAATGACTCGCCTATAGATATACTTACATGCAACGGTGGTCTCAAAATATATAGTTTATGTGTACTGGAGTATATACTTCCTGAGTGTATACGTATCTGTTTCCCACAAGACCCTTGATGTTAAATTATCAAAATACATACCCTCTGTATAAACATATGTATAAGTATTACATACATATATATATATAATTGCATTACGAGCATCAAGTAAACAAGCAGCGAAGAGAGAAATAGAAGGAAAGATTTGTTGAGAAACAGCAGCAAGACAAGTGGAGGGAGCTACCTAATAATAGTACTTCATAGAAGTTAGTTGAACTTGACATTGACTGAAAAGTATACATACATAGAAAATGTAAATATATATGTATATATATATAATAGACTTAACCAAGAAATCATTAATTGCATCAGACCCAGAGAAAAAAAATCATGGAAAGAAAAGGTGCACGTTAAAGTAGTGTACGTATATATACACACACACACACCAAAATTGTCAATCTTTAGGGTTTGCGGCAGCAACTTTCAGAGACAAATTATTGAAACAGTCAAAAGGGTTGATGAGAGACAACTCCAAAATATCTTTTTTCGGTGCAAAACAGGAGATACATATATGTTTATACATATATATATATATATATGTGTGTGTGTGCGTATATACGTCTGCGTGCGTCAAAAAATCGGTGCACGATCTCTTCCGTATATACCTATATCATTTATGAGCATGACTTTTTTAAGCTTTCTATTTTTCTTCTTCCCTAAATTTTCTAATTTTA